CCCGGACGCTATTTTTAGCACACAAAAGGAGGACATGTCCGGGTAAATCCGGACGAATGGTAACCCTAGGACCACCCTAATCCCTGGGCTGCCTTCCTGCCCCTTTTCCCACCCCCCAAGGGCAAAGGAAGGGGGCGGGTGTGTTTCCTTGGTACCCCCCAAACACTGCCTGGGGCATGTTCTCCAAATCGATACCTGCAAACAGCAGTTTTATCCCTTCTCATGCTGCTGTTGCTATAGTGACACTAAGATCCCTCCTCGCAGAACAAACTTTATAGCAAACGTGGAGACTGGGAGACGCCCCCCCCCCCGCCAATGACTCAGCAGGGACATGAACTCTGGGCTCCCTCGGCAGGGGGTGCTCCGGGCTCTCCAGCACCCGGCACCTTGCACCAGCACGTGCAAACTAGGTGCGAAACGCTGCTGACCCAGCATCACCCTGGTGTTCAGAGCAGCACCACAGTCTGTCGGGTTCTCGCAAAGCCCCAGCCCCTGTGTCCGGCCCACATTCGCAGCTCAGCTTGGGCGTGAAAAACAAACTGGGGAGGAAGTTTCTGCCCCTTGGGGCCACAGAGAAAAGAGCGGGAACGTGGCCCCGGCCGGCTCAGGAACCGGACAGTGAGTGGACGGAACCTGCTGCTGATGATTCATTTTATGATTTCATGATGTGGGCACCAGGCACAGGGCAATGCAGAACCAGGCCCTGCCTGCACTCTTACCCCAGAGCTCCCAGGCCTTCCCCCCGCTAATCTGGGAACGCTGGCCCCTGGTATGACCCCGCCACAGCTCTGCAGCCCTTGGTGCTAAAGCAAATGACGGCTGGGAAGCCGGCGTCGTTCAGCGCCATGGCCAGCACCTGTGTGTAGCCAGACAGAGCTTGTGTCTTTCGCCAGCAGCACCGAGCCGGCTTGGGAACCCCTGGACCCACAGACCCCGATTCCCTTCCACAGCCACTGCACTAGGGCAGGGGGGGCACAAAGTGCCACTGTTCGCACCCAGGGTCATATCCCACCCGCTCTGGCTGGGCCCTGGGCAGCCGTCAGCCCATTACACCCGCTTGGCGTCTCTGTGAAACCCAGGGAGCAGTAGCAGAGACCAGCCCAGGCAGCAAAAGTGGGGCCGTGGGCTCGGAGAACTAGCCCGCGCTGACTCCACCAGAGCGGGCTGCCTGTAGCCACCACGCAGAGAGGCTACGCCCAGGAGCCCTGCCCTTGGGCCCATGGCAAAGTGGGAGCGTGCACACGTAAAGGTGTGCATGCACGACGTGAGCGTGTTAGTGACTGCACACAGGGGTGTGCGGGGGCTGTGCATTGAATCCTGGGGGGGAGGGGCCCGGCCCTTCTAACTAGCCCAGGCTGATGCGCGGCACGGCAGTAACGGGTTTGTGGGCGTTGTGTTTGCACTGTCCCCCATTTCCTCTGGGGAGGCGGCTGCGAGTTTAACGCCCTCGTTTGTCCCGGGGAAACATAACCAGGCGGCCGTGCTTTGCCAACCCCCCCAGGAATCGCAGAAGGCCGAGTCTGATCGGGGTACTGGCAGCCAGGCTCCCCGGAGACACAGGTCTACGGCCCAGCAGCAGCTAGGGGATTCGCCCCTGTGCAAAGGCCCCAATGCAGTCCCCGTGCAGCCTGGGCTCATTCTTCACAGGGAGAGCGGCTGGGAAGGGAGCGGCAGGGCTGAGCGGCAGCAACGGGGGCGTTGTGCATGCTGAGCGTGTCCAGGCTCTGATGTCGGGTTGTCGATCAATAGCGCTGCCGGCGTCCTCATTTGGAAAACAAGGCTTCGCAGCACCTTGCGGCAGGAGCGTGCGGGAGAATCGATCAGTGGGGGCTGCAAGGACGGGGTGGCCGGTCAGGGCTGAGTGGGACTGTCACCCCCAGTGACCGTCCCCGGCTGCATGGAGCCGCGGGGCCCAAACCTCTGCAGCCGGCTGGCACCTCACGGCTGCCTCGCCAGAGAGGAGGTTTTCCGACCTGCTGCTCCAGAAGGCTGGGCTCTGAGCATCCGCGAGGGCCTGGGACAGTCCTGCTGGGCTAGGCTCTAGGACACACAGGCAGAGACATGCAGCCGCACCTCCCCATGCTCAGACGCCGCCCTGGGTCTCCACTCAGTTCCAAACAGCTGCCCAGGGCAGCCTGGGCTGACCCTGCTGCACGGCCCTGCTCCAGCCCTGGCACCAGGCCTGTCACGTCCTTGTCAGCACCAGCATGAAGCGCTGCTGTGCTGGGCTTTGGTGCAGCATCACCAGCGGTGCTGGGAGAATCGGTGCCCTCAGCCCCTGGCCAATGCCACTCGCCCTGCAATGCCACAGCCTGCCCCTACCCCTGCCCCTTCATCCCCCCCCCACACCCACCGGCCTCTCTCCAGCACCTCATGAGGGGGGGTGGGACGCTATGAACTAGCCCCCTGCCTGCACGCGCAGGCTGGGGGCGTTGCTCCAAGTGTTCCCGGCAGAGCCGGCTGCACAGAGCTCAGCAGGTGGCAATTGGGAGCCCCCAAGTGTCTGGGCCCCATGCACAGGGGGTGGGGGGGCGTTAGAGCCCCCAGGGCCCAGACGGGAAACCCCACAGCACCTCCCAGCTACTGGGCCAGTTTGTCTGCCCTAGCAGCTGCTTTGCCCCTTGGAGGAGAATTTCATGAACTTAATTTACCTGCAAACGCTACTTGGCTCCTTCCCTCCCCAACCCAGCCCCTCCCCCCAGGAATAATGCCGGGCACACCCACATGCACTGTGCACCCCCCCCACACACACACACGTGTGCACACACAGGCCACAAACACTCCCCCACACACACACACACGGGGGACACATTCATTGTGTGCACACACGTGCACACACACGCACACACTCTCTCCTGCATGGTGCTTTGCAATCACACAACCATTTACTCTCTCCTAGCCGCCAATAGCTAACAAATTAAAGCTCTTTGCAGGGCGGTGGCTCTCCGGACTCAAGAGCAGCAGCTGCCGCTCCAACCCCGCGCTAGATTAATATTCATGCCCACAGCTTGTTTAGCTCCCGCAATTACCAAGCCAGGGAGTTTTGGCTGGGCCCTAATTGCTAAACAACTGTCTGGGGGCGTCTTGTTTACTGTGTGCTGCCCAGGAGCAGGAGCGGATTGCCACGCCGCTGATTACATTTTGAATTTGCCCTTTTACGAGGATGCTGTCCCGGCTCGCGGGGAACGAGGTGGGGGCTGGGAACGGTGCTGTACAGCAGAGAGCAGGGACTGCCCTGCATACGCCACAACCTGTCAATGCTCGAAGCGCCTTCCCTTGCAGAACAGGAGTCGTTACGGGAGAGCAGCCTTGGTGGCTACAGCGCACTTGCCCCGCTGCTCTGAACTGCCTGGTGCGTGCCCCGTGCCCCGGTCTCTTGCCTTCCCCCGGTGCTCCTCCCTCAGGTGCTCAGCCCACCCCCTAGATCCTCTGTCCATAGAGAGCCACTTCCGCTCCCTGATGTCCTGGCTGGGTAACCAGCCATCTGCGCCAGCGAATCCGCGGAGCCCACTTACCCCTCTGCCAGCAGGAGCGGTGCCTGCTGACGGGCGCTGAGGGGCTTGGGGAAATGCAGCCGGCTTGGTACCGCACACCGCTGGGACACGGACAATCGCACAGACCGTCTAGTACTGGCCTGACTGCGACGCCCAGACACCCCACGGTGCTGGGCGCTGCCTCAAAGAACTCCCAGCCGCGCCAGACCCGTTTCACACCCGGAGAGATCCAGGCTGGATTTTCAAAGGCACCTGGGCTGGGCCATTCTCTGACCCTCGGTGACCTGTCCAAGATCACAGCCGGCATCTGCAGCACTGTCAGGAATCGAATACAGAAGACCTGAGAATCTGTCCAGTCTCGTAGCCCCACGACTGTTCTTCCCCAAGGCCGTCAAGCAGCCAGCCCAGGCCATTTTCCCGCTGTAGATGTCTCTGCCGGAGGCTGAGCGGGGCTGGGCGGGTGTTTCATGTCCCTGGTGAGATTCCAGGCAAGGTGGGTGATTCACCCGACCCTGGGCCAGCATTTCATGGGGTTCAGAGGGCGAATCAGCAGCAGAAAGGCCAGTGACCTGCAGCCGCCCCTGGGGCAGCCCAGCTACGCAGCGTTTGCTCCGCCGTTTCCTGACTGGGTGGGAAGTTTCACAGCCAAAAAGAGCAATAAAGAAGCGACAGACGCACAGGCTGGCTCTGGGCAGCCTGCTCCCCGCCCCCGCCTGGCTGTGTTTAATAACGGTTTCCCCGAGACGTGAGGAGCTGGCTGGTGTTTCTCTCGCTCACCGTCTCCAGCAGCCCACGCATTCCTGGCAGCAAATTAAACTCCCTGCCGGCCCGGGGAGCCCAGCCGCAGCGGGAACTGGAGCCAGCGGGGAGCCCAGCTGCCCTGCTAACAGGTGGGGGGCGAGCAGAGCGCAGCAGGGGCTGGGCTGAGCCGCAGAGCGGAAAGGCATTGCTCCAGGGGCAGCGACACCCTGCAGGGCGAGTCTCAGCTCACGGCTGGGTCCGGTGCACGGGGGCGACTGCCACCCTCTGAGCCCACGCACCAGCAGCGGGGACGAGCGGCCAGTTCGCACTCTGCTCCCATGCAGCTGCCAGGCCCCTGGGAATGGAGTCCATTGGACAGGCGCAGGGTGGCTGGGGAGGGAGGTGTGAAGCCAGGTGCCTGGGGGATTTTCTGGTACCGCCAGCATTCCCCGCGGGCTCCCGGCCACCTGCCCGGAGAAGAGGGGTAACGTGGGGGGGACAGGCAGCTTCAGACAGGCTCTGGTGGGATTGAGCTGTGAGTCCTTTCCAGCAAGTGCATTTTAACCCTTTCCTGTCCTGGCTGCGTGATGCAGCACCATCGGTGCTCATGGCCCACGGGGACCTGCCTTCCCAAGCGCTCAGCGCCCGCACTGGGGGCTGGAGCCCGGT